ACAGAAGATTCCTGCAGGGAGGGACCCTGGAGGCGAAGCATGCAGAACGGTCAGGGCAGGCCTGGGCCTGTTCTCTGTTCAGTTCAGTCGCTCAGTCGTGTCTGACTCTTTGCGACCCAATGGACTGCAGCACGCCAGGTCTCCCTGTCCATCGCCAACTCCTGGAGTTTACTCAAACTCATGTCCATTGAGTCGGTGATGCCATCCACCCATCTCATCCTCTGTCATCCTCTTCTCTTCCTGCCTTCAATCTTTCCCAGCGTCAGGGTCTTTTCAAATGAGTCAGTTCTTTGCATCTGGTGGCCAAAATATTGGAGTTTCAGCTTCAGTATCAGTCCTTCCAATGAATATTCAGGTCTGATTTCCTTTAGGATGGACTGGTTCAATCTCCTTGCAGTCCAAGGGACTCTCAAGAGTCTTCTCCAGCATCACAGTTCAAAAGCATCAATTTTTCGGTACTCAGCTTTCTTCACAGTCCAACTCTCACATCCATACATGACCACTGGAAAAACCATAGCCTTGACTAGATGGACCTTTGCTGGCAAAGTAATGTCTCTGCTTTTTAATATGCTGTCTAAGTTGGTCATGACTTTCCTCCCAAGGAGCAAGTGTCTTTTAATTTCATGGCTGCAGTCACCATCTGCAGTGATTTTGGAGCCCAAAAAAATAAAGTCAGCCACTGTTTCCACTGTTTCCCCATCTATTTGCCATGAAGTGATGGGACCAGATGCCATGATCTTAGTTTTCTGAATGTTGAGTTTTAAGCCAACTTTTTCACTATCTGCTATCACCTTCATCAAGAGGCTCTTTAGTTCGTCTTCACTTTCTGCCATAAGGGTGGTGTCATCTGCATATCTGAGGTTATTGATATTTCTCTCGGCAATCTTGATTCCAGCTTATGCTTCATCCAGCCCAGCGTTTCTCTTGATGTACTCTGCATATAAGTTAAATAAACAGGGTGACAATATATAGCCTTGATGTACTCCTTTCCTCATTTGGAACCAGTCTGTTGTTCCATGTCCGGTTCTAACTGTTGCTTCCTGACCTGCATACAGATTTCTCAAGAGGCAGGTCAGGTGGTCTGGTATTCCCATCTGCTGAAGAATTTTCCAGAGTTTGTTGTGGTCCACACAAAGACTTTGGCATAGTCAATAAAGCAGAAATAGGTGTTTTTCTGGAACTCTCTTGTTCTTTTGATGATCCAACGAATGTTGGCAATTTGATCTCTGGTTCCTCTGCCTTTTCTAAATCAGGTTGAACATCTCTAAGTTCATGGTTCACGTACTGTTGAAGCCAGGCTTAGAGAATTTTGAGCATTACTTTACTAGCATGTGAGATGAGTGCAATTGTGGGGTAGTTTGAGCATTCTTTGGCATTGCCTTTCTTTGGGATTGGAATGAAAACTGACCTTTTCCAGTCCTGTGGCCACTGCTGAGTTTTCCAAATTTGCTGGCATATTGAGTTCAACACTTTCACAAATCTGTTCATTTACATCCTTTTCAGAATCCCTGCCAAAGAGCAGTTTGAGAGATTTAACTGGCTGGAGGGAGGTAAGGATGCTGGTTGATTAGTGTACTGAGGCAGAATTGCATGGGAATTTTTCTTTCTTTCTTTTTTAAGGAGCATGGGCTTTTATCTCTTGAGCAGATGAGGTGGCATGTAGAAAAGCATGTTGGAATTACAAAGTGATGCAATGCAAATGTAAGGTGACATTCTTATGGTTACTGTTGTTAATTGTAGGAACCAGTGAAAGCCCTTTCTAGGTTGAGAGCCTGTGTGTAGGGAGGGGTGGAGTGGGCAGGAGTTGGGAAAGCGTCATGTGAGGGCATGAAAACTAAAGGAGAGAGGAAGGTAGCAGAGTTTGCAAACCTTGGTTACCTGTGTGTGAAGTGAGGCAGAGACATTTTTGTGATTTCTGGCATATTTCTTCACCACCTGTCTAATTATTTACTTAATATTTTGCTTTGATTGTCTCCTATTTCTTTTCACCAGGTAATATTTGTAAAGGCAACATATCACAGTTATATATGACAAGTGAGTGTTAGTCGCTCAGTCATGTCAGACTCTCTGGGACCCAATGGACTGTAGCCCACCAGGCTCCTTTGTCCTTGGAATTCTCCAGGCAAGAATACTGGAAGGTTGCCATTCCCTTCTCCAAGGGATCTTCCCACCCCAGGGATTGAACCCAGGTCTCCTGCATTGCAGACAGATTCTTTACTGTCTGAGTCACTGGGGAAGCCTGCATCTTTTTCAAAGTGGAGGAAACAGTATAAATAAATGTAAGGAAAGCCAGTGTCATTAAATTCTAGCTAGATGTCTTTGCTTTCTGGGTCTGGAAAACTCCCCAGACTTAGCCTGGTTCCCTCTCCCTGTGGCTCAGGTCTCCGCTCAGACGGCCCCTCCTCAGGAAGCCTCTCCTGCCCACCCTTCATTCTTGCTTTATTTCTCTCATAGCCATATCACAATCAAAGGGATTGTTAGTTTCCCTATGGGCCCCTGATTCCATCAAGGTAGGGCCTTGTCTGTCTGGTTTAATCATTCTGTCTCATTGCCTGGCTCAACAAAGAGTTGAGTAAGTAAGCCACACTGTGGAGCTTGTGGGATCTTAGTTCCCCGATCAGTTCCCCCTGCAGTGAAAGTGCAGAGTCCTAACCACTGGACCACCAGGGAATTCCCTCCAGTACGTTTTTGCTCTCCTTGTAGTGTGTACCAACAAGGTGTTAAAGGCACATGCTAGTGCCTGCTGCCACTTGCACCTCCTAGGACAGGAGGGCTGAGAGAGACTTGGGAAGGAAGCAGCCTTCTGGGGTACGGCCCAGCAGCTCCCCTGGCTCCCAGTCAGAACTGGGGAGACCCACAGGCCTGCAACCTCAATCCAGGCTTCAGATCCTCCTTTGGCCCCTGGCCAGCCAAGTGACCCCACAGCATCACAGAACCTCGCCAACTTCCATCTTCCCCAGGACTCTGTGAGGACGACAAGGGACAGTCACTATGGACACACACTAGTGAAAGAAGCTGCTCAACAAATGAGAATAGAAGCTCAGACAATTTACCAGAAGATAAGATGTGATTACTGACTGTGTCTGCTCACACCCTGCCCTTTCTTTCAGGCCCAACTTTAAAAAGTAATAATATTGTTTCCCCTTTAATGAGAATTTACTGTGTCAGGTACCTTTCTATTTTTTTTTTTTCATTTATTTTTATTAGTTGGAGGCTAATTACTTTACATCATTGCAGTGGTTTTTGTCATACATTGAAATGAATTAGCCATGGATTTACATGTATTCCCCATCCCGGTCCCCCCTCCCACCTCCCTCTCCACCCGATCCCTCTGGGTCTTCCCAGTGCACCAGGCCCGAGCACTTGTCTCATGCACCCAACCTGGGCTGGTGATCTGTTTCACCCTAGATAATATACGTGTTTCGATGCTGTTCTCTTGAAACATCCCACCCTCGCCTTCTCCCAGAGTCCACAAGTCTGTTCTATACAGGTACCTTTCTAAATTAGAGGTTTGTATGTCTATCATTTGATTTTAGCCTTGCAATAATACTGTAAAGTAGAGATTTATTATTCCCACTTTACAGATGGGGGAACTGAGGCTCAGAGTAGTTTTATGACTTGCTCAAGGGGATGCAGCAAGAAGTGAAGCAAACAGCCCACATTAACCATGGCATTGTAACAACCACCTAAATGCCACCACATGAAGATTTCCTGCCTAAGGTTCTCCTCTTCTAAATTTTCATATTTCATATTACCTCTCTGATGACATCTACCCAATCTCCCATGGTGTGTGTGTGTGTGTGTGTGTGTGTGTGTGTGTGTGTGTGTGTAGGTCTGTGTGTGTGGCAAATATTCATTCCTTGAAGGCTGAGACCTCATTCACCCGTCTCTTCCAGGGTCAAGCTGAGCACCTGGCATCCTGTAGGTACTTCACTTGTGTTTGTCTAGTAAATAAGGACTGAAGGTTCCTGGGTTTCTTCTGCCAGTCTCCATCTCCAGGGAAGGCAGATGACAAAGAATGAGCAGTCCCATTTCCAGAGACATAAACTAGCTCCATGAGAAAGCTTCTGAACTGTTTACCTGGGAAAGTGTGTGGAATGACGTGGGTACAAGGACCAGGAAGCTGACACCAAGACTGGACAGCACTGAGACAGGAGGGGATGGCTTCGGAAAGATCCTCCTGGACAGCAATACTGAGGTCTGTGCTAGACTTCATCTTTCTAGATTCACTTTCCACTCTGCTCTCCATCCCCAAGGGAGATCGAAAGAAGTGGAGGGGGTGATACAGGGGTACTGATTCCATGTGTTTTGGGCCAGGACTGGTAGCAGCTCTGTGGTTACTAGCTTGGATTCTGTGCGATCCTGGGTGGTTTCCACACACCCTGACCTTGTCTTTGGAGAGTCCCTTTAATAGACCCTCGTCATATCATCCTGATTCGATTGTGCCCCTGGCTTCTTCAAAGAGAGGATGGATGGGGTGGAATGCCCTTTACTGTGCTCTTTGGGTGACTCCTTGATGTCAGAGTCTATGCTTACTCATCTCTGTGTTCCTGCACCTGGCATAGTCCTTGGGCCGTGGTTCTAATAGCTAACACTTATCGAAAGCTTATTATGTACAAGACAGTTTCCCGTATTGACTCAAATAATCCTCACCGTAATCCCATGACCATCATCCTCAGTTTTCAGATGAGGAAACTGAGACACAGAGAGGTTGAGTGGCTTGCCTAGGGACGCATGTCTTGTCAGCCTTTGGCAGGTCTGGAAGGTTGGCCCATGACTTTTGAACCTGCTACTGGGCTGCCTTTCTGTTCGCTGTTTTGGGGATGATGTCCATTAGCCTCTGGAACCAAAAGAATCTATTTCTTTGCTCACTCAGGGACTCAGGTAGAATGGGCAGAAGGCGGAATGCAGGTTGCCATGGCAACTGATTACTTGGTGCACAGCTGGTGAGCCCTTGGGGCTGAGGTTCTGCTGCTAGCAGAGAGAAGGGTGGGGTTGGCATGGGGCAATGTCTGAGGTACCAGATGCACTGGGAGGATTTGGAAGAATACCAGGTGGGTAGATCAGGCAGGAGATTCTGGGCAGTGGTGGGAGCTTCCCGAGGCAGGTGGGAGGGGTGGGCAAACTCTCACTGTGGTCCCTGCCTTCACTAAACCTACATCCATGTGACCCAGACTGGCCCTCAGAGGGCCCCTCCCCATTTGTTTCCTGCTCCAGATCCCAGGGTTTTCGCCTTGCCTCTGATCCTTTCTGCAGGCCTGTACCACTGTGCTCCCTCCCAAGGCCATCAGAGATAGGGCACTGTTTCCTCCTCTGCCACCACCTCGGGCATTTGCTGCTGAGGGCTGGGAGCCTCCATTCCCTGGTTGTTCAATGAGAGCTTCAGCTTTTCCTCCCAACCCCTGAAGCTGCCTACTCCCCAGAGTGTCAGGGCAGGGCTGGATGGAGTGGGCAAGTCACCTGTCTGGTTTGTTGCAGGCCTTGACCTTCTTGACCAGGAATGAAATCCTGTGGTGAGTAGAGGGGGCCCCCTTTCCCTCCCCTTGGAGCTGAAATCTTACCCTGGTACAGCCTCACTCTGGTCCCTGAATATGGTCCCTGCTCAGAGCTACAGAGTCCTGGAGACGAGGCTGGTAGCAGACAGGCAGAGACAGACCCCAGTCCTGGAGGGTCCAGGGTCATGATTCCCAGGGCCCAACTACAGTGGAGTGAAATGTCAGGCTGTAGGTTGCTGTGGGATCCATGGCAAGGTTTCTTCATAGAACCACAGAGGTGGACAGGGTCTCCCTGGGATGAAGAGGACAAGGAGGAGAGGACTTAGGAAACAGGTCTGCAGCGCATGTAGCTAGGTGGTCCTCTAGCTGGGTAAAGCTGATGCCCCGCTGAATCTCTCTTAGTCCTCCCTTCCTTCCCAAGCTTTGCTTCACTACCTCCCAGCACAGTGGGTGCAATAGTGGGCAGTCCACCCCCTGTTTTTATGCTGGTGATACCCAGAGAGGAAGCCTCCGGGCCAAGACAGCCAACGCGAGGATCCCTCATGGGACCACAGAGGGAGTAGACAGCATGAGAGATGTGAGACCACTCAGCCTGGGCCAGGTGCTCATGAAAAACTTGTTAGAGAAGGAAAGGGGGTCTCTAGGGCATTGTTGGTGGGGTGAAGGGAGGTTGGAGTGAGGAGACTGCCCTGAGACCCACAGAACCCTCTTGCCTCTTTGTCTCTGCTGGACTCACCCTCCCCAGACAACACCCAGCCTGGAAGCTGCACTTCCCACGCAGGGTCCCAGGCAGCACAACAATTCTGCCACAAGCATGAGACTCTCCTGGCACAGGGTGGGGGCTGATGGATATCCAGGGCACAGGAAGTGATGGCGACCAGGAAGAGTCACTGGGTTACATCGCTTTCCTTTTAAAACAAGTGTTTGCTCATTTTAGAAATAAAAATATGACAAAACTCTATATCCTACTACTTATACATCTCATTGATAGTTTCTAAAAAAAGGAACACTTGCATAAAAATGAAATAAAAATTGAAAAGTAATATGTGAGCATGGCCAGAAAATTCAAATAGCATAAATGTTCTAAAAGAAAAGTAAGCATCTCCTTCCTTCCCAGGCCTTCTCCCTGATGATAACTCTTGTTCACAGTTGGTTTCTCATCAAGGCTTCCAGAAAAAATTTTCATAGATAGATCTACATAAATATCCTTCAAAAATTTTATCCCATTCACACTACAGCATTTACCAATTTGTAGTGTAGCATTATACTGTTCTGGATCTTTTTTCTTTTTAAGTTTCATGTTGGCTATCTTTGAAGGGGATGACAGAAGAAGAGATGGCTGGATGGCATCACCAACTCAATGGGCATGAGTTTGAGTAAACTCTGGGAGTTTGTGATGGACAGGGAGGCCTGGCGTGCTGTGATTCATGGGGTCGCAAAGAGTCGGACATGACTGAGCAACTGAACTGAACTGAACTAAACGGATCTTTACATAAAGCACATAGAGATCTGTCTCATTCTTTATAATGATTATGGGACATTCTTTCCTATAGAGGAAATATCATTCATCTTACAACCTCCCCCCATAACATACACTTAAGTTGTTTATGACTTTTTGTTCTATCAATAGCGCTATAGTAAACATTTATGTAAAAATAGCTTATTCAATTGATAAGCTTTTGAATTGTGGTGCTGCAGAAGACTCTTGAGAGTCCCTTGGACTGCAAGGAGATCAAACCAGTCAATCCTAAAAGAAATCAACACTGAATATTCATTGGAAGCACTGATATTGAAGCTCCAATACTTTGGCCACCTGATGCAAAGAGCCAACCTGCTTTTGAAATGAGGTGCTGGAGAAGACTCTTGAGAATCCCTCAGACAGCAAGGAGATCAAACCAGTCAATTCTAAAGGAAATCAACCCTGACTATTCATTGGAAGGACTAATGCAGAAGCGCCAATATTTTGGCCACCTGAGGCAAAGAGCCAACTCATTGGAAAAGACCCTGATGCTGGGAAAGATAGAAGGCAAAAGGAGAAGAGGGTGACAGAGGATAAGATGGTTAGATAGCATCACCAACTCAATGGACATTAACTTGAGCAAACTCCAGGAGAGTGGAGGACTGGGAAGCCTGGTGTGCTGCAGTCCCTAGGGTTGTAAAGAGTTGGACATGACTTAGCAACTGAACAAAAACAAAGCTTATTCAAAAAGTGAAAGTAAATCCATAGGAGAGATTTCTAGCTGTAGAAATGGTGGGCAAAGCGTGGACATGTCTAAAATGTTAACAGGAAAGACAGGATTGTTCTGCAGTAATTTATTCTCTCTATTTCAGCATGACCATGCCTGCTCCTCTTTCCATCTAGAAAGTTCAAGGATTCTCAGATGATCTTCTCTAGATCTCTAGGGTCCCTCACATGTGCCCCATCTCCACCACCAATGTGGTGGTGGGAGTTGAGGGGGGGAAGTCAGTCAAGAGAGAGGAGAATGGGAGGGAAGCCCTTCCATCTTCACGTGTTCTCTATTGGCCTTTGAGAAAGATGTTCTGGTAGGGACTCCTCCTTTCTGAACTGCCCACACAGGCCATGAGACAGCCCCTGCCTACCTCCTGTTTCACACCTCTCTCCACCCCTATTGAAAGTGAGCCCCTCATGGGAGGGGCCTCACCTCATTTTTTTGTACTGGGGAGGCAGGTCCCAGTGAGTGAGGCCAGCAAAGGCTCCACTTCAGCCCAACTTCTCTAACCAACTCCTCTCAAAGCCATCTCTAGCCAACCCTGTCTTTTGTCAGTGCCATGCCTAAGCATGAGGTCCTGGTGCCTGCCCCTCGGGCAGCCTCTGCCCATGAGACTCCCACCCCTTGGGCTCTAGAAGAACAGGACGGGTCAGTGCTGGAGGAGGGATGGGGATGCCGAAGCTCCAGGAAGGCAGAGAGGAGGTGCAATGGCTGAGTGTCTACTCTCTTTGTGTTTCACCATCATGGAGACTTTCAACTGAGGTGGAGCAGGACAAGCATGAAGTGGGGACAAAATTGCTAAGATGGGTGGGGTGATACCAGGGAGAGCTCTTTGCTGCTTCAAACCAAGGTGAGTCTCCAGATTAGGAAGACCACACTCTGGGGAGCAGCTGAGGGTGTGGAATAGCTGCCAGGAGCTGTGAAGAACAGAAGAGAACAGGGGAAGGACTGGAAGTCTGCTTCCGGAAGGGAAAGACACTTTGACCTGGCCATTACACTTAAATCAAAAGGGCATGGATGAAATAAATGTGGATGGACCCATCCATCAGTGGCACTGTCCTTAGAGAGAAGGAGAAGTTTTACGTTGGGTGTGGATTAGTATCTCCAAGGTATACTGTAAAGTTAAAAAAGCAATGTGCCATAGCTTCCAGTGAACATGGAGAATTGAGCATTTTCTTTTCTTTATTTTCCCTACTAAAAGGACAGCTAGAATTAGAAAAAAAGGAAGAAAGAAACCCACAAGGGAGAACTCAAGAGATGAAAGCAGATGAGAGAGATCAAAAATTTCCAAAGTGGAAAGCAAAGAGATCCACGATACAGACTTAGGGCTGAAAGTTGAAAGCAGATTGCTTGAAAACAGGGATTGGGATGATGGAATCAAGGGCCCAGAAAGGCTCAGGAACCTCCAAATGCCAGGATGAAGGCTCAGGTGAAAACAAAAAGATGGTATTATATGATTTCTCCTCTTGCCCTGCAATCCACTCAGCACCCCTTGCCCAGCCCAGCAGAGGACAGGAGCTCACCATGTGGAGAGAGCTAGCCATGCAGGCTTCTGACTCAGGACCACCAGGAACAGATATGCGCACTAATGAGACTTGGCAATTGCACATGAATTGAAAGCTGAGAGATACTACATATTTGAAGGAGAAAAATTTTTAAGCCTACGTTAATTTATTTCAGGACACCAAAGGTATTTAGAAGATCCTAAGAACATCCACAGAGGAAGAAAGCAATACATAGAGAGGATCAGGAAGTAGAATGACTTTAGATTTGTGCTGGAAGACGGTGGCTAAACACCTTCAAAAATAAAAGGAAAAAATTCCAATGTAGAATTAAGTCATAGCTAAACTATTAATCAAGAGTGAAGGTGAAACAATATTTTTTGACATGTGAATTCTAAAAACAATTACCTCATGCACCTTATTTCAGGCAGCTTCTGCAGTGTCCATTAAAATTAATAAGTAAACTAAGTTCTTCATTAAAATTAGAGAGTAAACTAAGAAAAAGAATTCCCTGATAGCTCAGCTGGTAAACAATCTGCCTGCAAGGCAGGAGAACCTGGTTCGATTCCTGGGTAGGAAAGATCCTCTGGAGAAGAGATAGGCTACCTACTACAGGATTCTTGGTCTTTGCTGGTGATTCAGATGGTAAAGAATCTGCCTACAATGCTGGAGACCTGCGTTCAATCCCTGGGTTAGAAAGATCCCGTGGAGAAGGGAACAGCTACCACTACAGTATTCTGGCCTGGAGAATTCCATGGACTGTGTAGTCCATGGCATCGTAGTCCATGGCATCGCAAAGAGCTGGACACAACTGAGCAACTTTCACTTTCAAACTAAAGAAAAAAGAAGGCGTAAGAACCAGAAAACAGAGGACCGCAACACAATGGAATTTCAAAAATGACAGTGAAGAAAAACCCAAGGATGACAATGCAGCAGGCTTGAAAAGTAATGAAGCCAGATTAGAATTAAGGAGTTAGGAATTCCAGGAGTGATACCCCCAAGAAAACAAAATTAACCTGGATGATGGATGATGTAAGGTATATAAACACATGAAGAGGAACGTCACAATTCTGCAGAAAGCTTAATAATGAAATAATAATAGAAACACTGAAACCTAAGCAAAAGTAAAACAAAGTGATTATTAGCTCTGGGAAAAACAAAGAGTTTTGCAAAAAAGAAAATGTAATCATGTTGTATGAGGGAACTCAGCTGTGAGCAATGTTTGAATAATACATATATAATATGTAATTATACATACATATGACAATAATATAAATACTGAATCTTGATTCAGGAAAATCATTTTATATTGAGATATTAGGGGAAGAAGTAGTATATATGTGCTGTGCTGAGTCACTCAGTCGTGTCTGACTCTTTGCAACTCTATGGACTTTAGCCTACCAGGCTCCTCTATTCATGGGTATTCTCCAGGCAAGAATACTGGTATCGGTTGCTATGCCCTCCTCAAGGGGATCTTCTCAATCCAGGGACTGAACCAAGGTCTCCCAATTTGTAGGCCGACTCTCCACCACCTGAGCCACCAAGGAAGCCCGAAGTAGTTTATAGGTAGAGATAAATTCTCTCTTTCTTAACAATAAGAGGTCACAAAATAAAAGTCTGCAATGAAAAAATACCAAGTGGCAGTATCAGCACCATCTCTAGAAATACTATGCAAATATTAAGGAAAAACCAAGAGAAATAGAAAAACATTTTTTAAAAAAAATTCAGCCTCTAGAGATCAGGGGTAAAGAGGTGGTATAGAATACTGTGTATTAATAATATTAATTATAGTGCTGTTGGCTTTTTAAAACCTATTTCACTCTTACTTTGGTAAACTAGACTGGTACATATTTTACTTTTAGTAAAATAAAGGGCTATACATGCATGCATATGTACATACACACAGAATATCTTAGGAAGGATACACGCACACATATAAGATGATCCTAGGTTAACTCCTTGGAGGGACAGGAGCACGAATTACGTTAGGGTTAGTGTCGATGCCTTGTCTGTAAAGGGAAGGGGCAGCTTTGATATGGGTTCCCAGCAACATTGGCTGTGGCTCAGGGGGCAGATGGCACGTGATGCTCAGGGGAGAGAGCAGACACCCAGGGCTGCCAGGGCTAAATTGAGCCAGACTAAGCCCTGCTCACTTCTGAACAAGTTTCCAACATCACCTCTGACACCGTGTTGTGATTTTCCTACGAACGTGACAAAGAAATGTGGCTTGGATGACAGTACATCTGGATGGATTTAGCCAGTTGAAAAAAAAAGTATCCAAGAGACTGATAAACAAGGGAGCAGGGTGGCTCTGCCCTTGTCTAACGCTTTCCCACCTTCTTATCTGTGACTTGCATGGGACAAAAAGGCCTGGTCACTGGATCCGCAGGTGACACCTAATGGGAGGGGCAGACCACATGTGACAGCTTCTTCCTCATCCAGGGCTGCCTTGACTCAGCTCTCTAAGAAGGGGTCTGTCCACCCTAAATGTCTAACCTGTGGGAGTCTTCTTTCACATCCCGTTGGTCTCTGAAAGAGCAGGGTCCCCTTCGTCCTCAGCTTCCAGGTTAGCCCTCTCTGACTCTCGTTAAATTGCTGTTAAATTGCCCCTGCCTTCCAGATGTCTCTACGGGATCAGTGCACAAGCCCTTTGGGGCCCTTATCTTCTTCACCTGAGGCTCTGGACCCTGAGTCTGGGACCTGACTCAGAAAGGGCACATGTGGCTTCCTTTAGATCTCCATGGCAGAGCCTGGGTCAGCCTGACTCAGTTTGAACAATTTCAGGGTACATTACATTGCTCAGGGATGGCTCCTGACAGGATCTTGGGCTGGATGTAGGTCTGGTAAATGGTATCCTGAAGCTTTGCCCCAGTTCCTGCTAAGGCTAATCTGACCATTGGGCCCCTGGATCCTCTGAGCAGCCTTGAGGTCCCCAAACTTGCCCGTCTCCATGCCCTGTCCAGGCTGTTAGCTCCTGGTCCACCTGGAGTGCCAGAAGGTCAGCAGGCAGAGGCTTGCTTCCTAGAAGTCAAAGGCCAGAGTCTGAGTCTCAACTTTTTCACTTACTTGCTGTGTGACCTTAGGTGAGTTTCTTACCCTCGCTGAGCCCCAGTTTTCACACATACAAAAAGTATGTATTCAACCTAATTGTTATTAGGTCAGTTAGATGATCAGATTTGCATAGGAATTAAAGCAGTGCCTGGCACAGAGGTCGGTGCTGAGACTGTGGTAGCTGTCATTTTCATGGTATTTTCATCTCCTTTTTGTGAATGAGGAAACCAGCTCAAAGAAATGAAGCTATTTGCCCAAAGTCACACAGCTTGGAACCAGTAGATCATAGAACCAAAAGTTAGCCATCTTTCCAGGCTAGAGATGAGGCCATTCATAAAATACCTGCAGGCCATTCCGTGTTGAAAGGGACAACTGACCCCATGTAATGGGGGTGAAGCCCAGGTCGGGGAGCCCAGACTGGGATGGAAGGGGTATAATTGGAGACTTTCACTGGAGCTGTGTTCTCAGTCCTTCCTGTACAATACAAACACAGAAGCATGCAGAACCTATAGGTGCCTGGGCTGACACTAGCCTTGAATGAGACTCTCTAGAGCTGATCCTTTCATCAGCTCCCTGTGTGCTTCTGATGTGGGACCACCCAGTCGAAAAAGGCTAAACTGGAGGGTCTCAGAGGCAAGGGATGGACAGGATGCAGAGAAGGGTACAGAATTCCCAAAGTGGAGGATGGAGGGAGCTAGCTGAGATTCACTGTACAGAGGGGACGCGGCAGATCCAAGGTCCTGAAGAGTCAGAGCAGAGGAGCTGGTCTCCCCCTGTCTCAGCCTCCCCACCCGCACACAGCCCCTCCCCTCGTCTGGCTAGGTGTGGAAGGGAGATGCAGCTTGGGCTGCTTGCTTTCTGGCAGGCGAGATGTGTGAGCTTTTCAAATGGCTTTGACTTTTGAGTCCATTAGTGATTAATTCCGAGTTCCACTTAGAGCCAGCTGATCCATATTTGGAGGAGAACATTTTGTGGCAAGCCGAGCAGCAGCCACGATTCATCTGCGGGCAGCCCACCCACTCGGCGGCCTGGGAAGACACGAAGTCTGGGCAGGGCCCTCCCCACGGTACCCCCTCCCCAGAAGGCTCTCCAGGGCAGGGAGGGGGTGCTGAGAGTCTTTCACCTGGGACCTTTTAGAGGTGGGCAGCACAGCCCGAGGAGCCTGGCTTAGGGTTCAGAACCCCCTTGACCCCTTCCAAGCTGAATGACCTGAGGCAGACCCCTTCAACTCTCTGAGCCTTGGTCTCCGCATGTGTAGACATCATCACCCCTATATCTATCCCACAGGGTTGCTGGGAAGATTCATTGAGATAATATGGTTGAATGCACCAGGCACACAGAGCTTAAAAAACAAGAAGCCAGTGACAACAGCAGCAGGGGTTCCCTCTCTTCCCACCCTCCAACCCCCCTTCCCCCACCCACAGCCCTTCTGAGACCTCCCTCTCTGGGCTCCTGGGGAAAGAGCTCTGGCATCTGCAGCTCTGGCTTCATGCTCACCCCTGTGTGACCTTAGGCAAGGCGAGTATTTCACCTCCTTGAGTCTCAGTTTCCTTCTCTGTAAGGAAGAGATAATGGTCCCTTCCTTGCAAGGTGGTTCTGTAGGTTCCACCAGAAATGTCCACACAAGTTGGCAGCGTGAAGTGGGTACTCCTAGTGAGGGGCCAGAGGGTGTCAACCATACAGGTGCCTGGCCTCAGATAATTCTTTAAAATTAATAAAACATACTGAAAGTCAGTCTGCTTTTTTATCATCCCACCCTAGCAATTCTAACAATGACAGTGATCAAATGCTCCTCGGGGCTAGGGGCAGACCACTGCCAGCGCCCCCTCCCCTGGAGGCCACTGGACACCCCCCCACCCCCACTTGGGTATGATGGCTTTCCTCTCTCCTCGCTGTCCTTCAGTGTCCCCACCCTATCTTTTCCTGGAGACTATCTCCCTTGACCCATTCTACATCCCACTTTTCAGCTCCCTCCCCAATTCCTTACAAGGTTAATATGGTCCATGCTCCAGAATGTGGGTGGGGAAGGCTCCAGCAAGAGGACCCTGCTCTCCTGGCCTGGGGCAGAGTTCCCTCCTACCCTCTGCCTCGCAGCGCCAACACGGCCATTCATTCCCTCCTCTGCCTGCCTGTCCCTCACAAGCCAAATCCCCTGGAGCAGGGAGGAGGCCCGCAGACAGACATTGATTACTGGATCGATGAGGACAGTTGTTCAGTCCCATCGTCTGGATCCAGCTCACTGGCCTCGGATGGCTGTGTGGTTTGCTGGCTGCTTGGCCACACCCATGGAGTGACCTCTTTTCCCTGGGACGAGGGTGGGGCTGGACAGATGGCTTGGGGTGGCATCCTGGCTTCCCCAAGGCCCTGCTGGTTCCTCCATTCGTAAAGGAGGGACTGAAGGAAGGGAGGGCAGAAGTCCTTTCCAGTGCACTTGTAGATTACGTTCAGGCTACAGAGCATATTGGCTTATCTTTGCATCCCCCACAGCGCATGCGCTGGGCACACTGGAGCCCCAGGCATGTTTCTGGAAGGGCAGGATGATTTATAACTACCAAATGTGTGTCAATCAGTCCTCCAAAGGGAGCCCGCAGGAGGCAGGGGGCCCGCTGGTCCCCACCCTCAGCCCACCCCTGCCTCTCTTCTCAGCATCCATGACTCCTTCCTGAAGCTCTGTCCCCCCGGGAAGTACTACAAGGAGGCCACGCTGACCGTGGACCAAGTCAGCTCCCTGCCAGCCCTGAGGGTGAGTCCAGGGGGCGGGGTGGAAGGGATGGGGCGGTGTCGCCGCGATCTGTTGAGTCTCCGGAAGGCCTGGTCTCAGTGTGCTCACCTGTGAAATGGGTGGAGGTGCGGGGTGGCTGGGATCCCATGTGCTCCCTGAGACCCGTGTACCCCGACAGGCTGTGCTTTGCTCCAGTTGTCAGTGCCTCCCACTGCCAATCTCCTAGGGACCATCCTTGAGCACTGGCTTCTGTTGTAAAAAGACCCTGCCCTTCCCCCAGGGCGCCTGGAAGAGCCCAGAGGTGCACAATAAAGGGCTCCCTAATCTCTCCTGAAATTTTAATTAAACTTTGTGCAAAGAGGCAGCGTCAAATGAACAAATCACAGCGGTGTCAGACTTGTGTGTCAGACTTGCTGATTTTTCATTTGGGTCTCAGCAGAATAATGGTTTGAAAGTGTCATTGTACAGTGAAAGTCCATCTTCATTTCTGTCTGAAACAAAACTGGCCCTGAGAGCTGTGGGCACCTCTTTAAAGAGGGCCCCGGGAGGTGGGTGCAGGGATGGGAGTGGTGGTTGGAGGGATCCTGAGGAAGAGACCGCAGAGGGGTTGGGGGGAGGGGAAAGGGGCAGCCCCTCCCCAGTGACAGACCAGTTCTAGGGCAGAAACAGAGAAGGAACACAGAGCCTGGGGCTTGCAATAGAGACTGGAGCCTAGAAGACAAGGAAACCAACAGCTGGGAAGAGGGAGGGGGAGGGGATGAGGTGAGCTGAGAGCAGAATCCTCAACAAGGTGACATCCCTAGAAAATGTCCCAACTACAAAATGGGGACCCTGTCCTCTTGGGAGCCCCGACTCACACAGACACAGCCCTGCACATCCCCACACCCACAAACACTCCTACTTGAGGTGGGGAACATCTCTCTAAGACCGAGACTATCCACACAGGGAGCCAGGGTGAGGGGCACCCAAAGGCCAAACTGAATGGGGAGCTTCTGCCCTGTCCTCCCGAATGGGGGACAGTGTCACAGGTCAGTCCCAGAGTACCCAAATGCTAGGCTTGGGGGAATAAAAAGACTTGTAAACTGCCGGTCTAATCAGTGTCAAATGCTCCACTCTGATTTTATCTTTTGGATAACTGAGTCCCCAACAGGGGAACAACTCACGCAGGGCCACGTGACACTGCAGAACCTGGAAGTCAGACAGGATTCTGACCCCCGGGCCAGGCATCCACTTCTAATCAGGGCTTGGCTCTGACATGTGCCTGGGACTGCCAGGCGCCCTAGGGAGCAGTTGGCAAAGACCCACCCTGGAGGGCTGGCACAGAGGGTGTTGTGTGACCCGTGGCCCCAGCACTCTGCATGGACCCAGCACACCACAGTCACGCCTAGGGGCTCTGATCTGAGCCCCAGAGGAGCAAGCACTGGACTGGATCAGAGGGCTGGGTCCAGGCCCAGCTCCATCACACTCCATGGATGACACATCTCTCCTCTAAGTTTAATCTCCTGTCTTTACAATATGCACACCCTGTACATGTAACAGACCTGGCAGGGATGAGCCATGGTCCTCTGCACCCTCTGTTTTGTTCCCCATCCTCTCTTTTCTTCCACCTGGGGGCTGGGCTGGAGCTCCAAGGCTGGAGAAAACGGAGGAGGGGCAGATGACAGGAGCACATTGGCCACGACCCCGGGTGGTCTGGGGTCTACTTGACCTCAGGCTCGTCATCTGGCAGTCAAGGGCTGGGCGCTGATGCAGCAAGAATGTGAGACTGCTGTGAAGTGCTGCAATGCGTGAGGGTCTCTCCAAGAGCCCCAGGAGCTTGCTCACAGAACAGTGGCTGGGAACTGAGTTGGGGTGGGGGGTGTCTTGGGATGTGATTACTTTAATTTGACATTTCTTATTTCATCCTTCTAAAGGGTCATTATTTTATTCTATCCTAAAAAAAAAAAACAACACATCATCACAGAAAAACTGGAAAGCACAGAGAGAAAAGCAAAAGTGTGGTAAAAATCATCAGGTAGCCTACCTTAAAGAATGACCATCATGACCATCTTGCCTTCTTTCCTTGCATACTTTCATTTTTAATGTGGATCTATACGTGTTTATTGGGATCACGTTGACTTTTTTTGTATATTGCTTTCCTCCCCACCCCAATTTTGGATTCTTTGTTGCCTTTCCAACTGTTTCTGAACAGCTAGTACCATCTCCTGAATTGAGGACAGGCTGAGCCCTTGCCACATGGAGATAGCTAGGGCGCAGGGCACAGGGCCAGGAGCAGAAGAGCTGGCTTTGAACTCACTTGCCAGGCAAGTGATCTCAAGAAGTCACTTCACAAGAGGAATGACTGGTGGTGAGGGGAAGCAAATAGAAGTCAAAGAAGACTGGGAGGCAAAGGGTGCAGAATGGAGCTGTTTTTCTGCAGGTGAAAGGGCTGCTTCTAGGGGCTCCCAAGTGTAGGCCTGGGTCCAAGGTCGAAGGTTTCTCCACAATACAAAGTAAGCACTTTGTAATTATCAGAGCTGTACACAGAGGAAGTGAGCTCCCTGTCACTGAAGGGCACCAAGCGGGAGCGGGCCAAGCTCTTAGCTGTGGTGTTCTGGCACACGCTTAGGTGTCAGTGGCCGCTGGACCACATGCCTTTGTGCCCTTCTCACCCTCTGAGTCTGTGGTTCTGTTTCTGACCCAGAGCTTGGTCTTACTCTTCTTTGGGTCATCTACCGTAGTATGTCCCAAACTCTGCATGTTCATAGTACAGTGAAATCTGCTCCCCCTCCCAAAGTTATTATTTTGTGGAAGGACTAGTTAGAGATGTTAACTTTCCAATTTTGTCAAGTAAGGACTTAAGAAAACTTGTCATCCACAATCATCATTTCACTTTGTAAAGATATTAATTTTAGAACAAAAATGTAAGAAGGATCTAATCCCAGAAGCAACAACCGTTCTTTCCATACACGTCCCTTTTTCATTTTATTTCTCTCCCTCTGTTCCTGGTTGTCAAGAACATTGTCGCTGATCACTCCTGGTCCTCAGACTAGCTTTGGGGGACTAGGATCCAGGACTCAAGTTTCTCTGTGCCTTTCTGATCTTGATTGAAGCAGAAAACTGAGTTCCCAAAAGAAGCGAGGAGAGGTTTGATGGGAGGTGGGGACCCAAGTATCCCCGTGTCCTCTGTGGTCTGAAGGGTGGGAGCTGGGTGACTCACCCTGTGCAGAACACTTCTCTGGAAAAGCTTGAAGAACAGGGCCCAAGGGAGCTCTGGGTACCGGTATTACTTGGCTCAGGGTCTTGAGTGATCTGGAAAGAAAGTTCTGTTTTCCTAACTTGGATACACTCGTGGAAAAAGGAGGTTGGCTAACACTGGGAAGGGTCTGCCCATCGGGGAGGGCAGGGCAAGAGCAGCCTGAGCTGCAAAGTCCAGCAGGGACACATGAAGGCCCTGCTAAGCCGGGGCTCACTGCCCCCTTCTACCCAGAAGTTTCTGGGGTTTTTTTTGTCTGCCGCTCTGTTTGGTGTATTTAAACATGAATTAGCTCAATGTTTCTGTTCTTATAAATAACGATCTTGCTTTCTATAAACACTGATGAGTACTGGCATGGTGTGACCCACGTGGGTGTCTAGCTTCCGAGACTAGGACAGCCAGCGGCAAGACCTGGGGGGAGATCTTGGGGTGTCCCGGGGGGAGTCTGGTAGAAGCTCCCCTAACGAACAGGGCTACCGCATACCTCCGGCCTCTTTCCATCTCCCTTTCTGGGGTTCCTACAGGCAGGTGGTCTGGGCATAGCCTGATCCCCACGTTTTATTGCAGCATCAGATCTGTAGAAGCACCTTGAGGTTTGGGAACACACCTGAGGTGTCAGGAGTTGCTCCAGATGTGGCTTCTGAGGTTTCAGCTCCAACTCGGTTTCCATCTAGCCCAGGTATGTCAGAGGCCTGCTATAGGCTGAGCCCATTTGCTTAGAATATGTGTGTGTGTTAGTCGCTCAGTTGTGTCCGACTTTTTGTGACGCTATGGACTGCCACCAGGCTCCCCTGTTCATGGGATTTCCCAGGCAAGAGTACTGAAGTGGGCTGCCATTCCCTTCTCCTAGGGAGGATACCCTCCCGACCCAGGGATTGAACCCAGGTCTCCCGCACTGCAGGCAGATTCTTTACCATCTGAGCCACCAGGGAAGCTTAGAATAGCTTGCAATGAACTCACTCCCAAGGCTATGGACAATGAGAAGCCCTAGTGGTTATTCAGCCTCTCCAGAAACCACCAGAGTGGGAGGGACAAGGATGGGATTGGGTTTTTTTAATTAAAAATTATACACACACATACACACATATATTGAAGAAGGAAACGGCAACCACACCAGTGTTCTTGCCTGGAGAATCCCATGGACAGAGGAGCCTGGCAGGCTACAGCCCATGGGGTTGCAAGAGTCCAACACAACTTAGCGACTAAACCACCACTATACAGTATTTAAATAAATTTTTTATGCCGGCTGAGAATCAAGTTGCCCTATGGGGACTGTCCTCCCCCATTTCCCTTCTCTGGAGGCAACCATTTTCAGCCCCTTCTTGGTAACTCAGCCTTTGACTTCTATCCCCACACCCCCACCCCCCAGAGACGAGGCTCCTTGCCTCTCCCATACCCACCCTGCCCATAACTCCCCCTTCCTCTGCCCTCCTAGTACAGTTACCTAATGATTTCAGTCCAGTCACTATACAGTGTTTCCATTATCATGGCTGAATGTGCTACTCAGAGCTGAATCATGAAATAGACTATGGTTAGTTTTCCCTTTTTGCACATTTTTTATTGTCTTTCCTAGATTTAATCACTGCTTTTGCTTAGTTTTCTATGTATTTATTAGTAAATATGACACCAACCCTCTGCCAATCATCTCAATCTCCTCTAAAGGCATTCAGAAGGGAGATCTTTTCTGAACATTCCCTTTTCTTGGCAAAATTTCTCTTGGAGTCTTCTGATCCACTCTAACTAGGGCTGGCCAGCCCTCTGGAGCCTGGTACTTGTTGTCAGTCTG